TTCAAACAATCAGCTGGAGCTTATTTTAATCGGTTCCATCGTGTGTGTCAAGTTTCGGCTGTCATCCCATGTTCATGTCTTAAACGATTCCATCTTATAACATTTATGGATATGAAAGTCAAATGTTAAGTGTGTGTGTGGATCCCGTCATGTGTGAACTCTAGAAAGTCAGCGAGCTTTTCTGTATAAAAATAAAGTCAACTTTGGAGAGATGGACAAGATTCTCTTCCCGTTGCTGGTTTCATTCGCAGTTTCTAGCCGGATTCGTGTACGAGGCTAAAAATGTTTTTGCTCTTTATTTTATTTGCTGTGGCTGTTTTTTTTTACTAGATAGTGAAAAAAGATTATTTGTTATTACTTACTTCATCTGTTTCATATTAATTATCAATTTATCTCTATGCACACATATTAAAAACAATTATTTTGTATATTTTTCTATATAAAATACTTAATCATTTTCAATTAATAAAAAAAAATTCTAATATAAAAATAAATTTTATACTACAAGTCGAAAACAATACTATTTGTGGTAATAATTTTTTTTTGTCTACAATGACATTTAATATAAAATGTAAGGAGCATTAGACTCATACTTAAGTTTAACATCGGTAAAGGAAATCTTTTTTATTGAATTAGTAGCTTTTTTAGTTATATTAACTATGTATGCACCGATGATATAAAGAAATTCTATATGGGTGCTAAAGTTTTCTTCTTCTTTTTGATACTTTTCAGACTATACCCTTTAATGACTTATGTAGTTTCTATATTTTCTTATTCCATGAAATATACATAGTACTTAAAGGACAGAGGAGCACATATACATGTCATAAATCATAATATGTATAATTTATGTGTGTGTATGTATGCATGCATATGTTTTCGAGACTCGACAATGTGTAATATTTAATTAAATGAAAGAATCTAGCTAGGCACCTTGGAATCATATTTGGTTTTCCAGTTTTTGACTCTGAGAGCAAATCACGCCGACGAACCGACACAAAACATACTAGGAGGCTCCCATCGTACGTAAATATATTAATTTACATGCACATGCAATTAATGATGAAGCTAGTTGCTGATATTTAATTATCCCAAAAAGAACCGGAAAGTTGTCTAGAATTTGCTTGAGATTCAAATTTCACATTACTTGCATGTTCGTATGAGCAAATAAATATAGCCAACAAGCTATATTTTGAACTTTATGCAAGCTGATAGAGGCCTAACTCTATAGTATTTATTTGTGGAGAAATGTGCTATTCAACGAATTATGTTATTAGACGAGTTATATATATTTACTGGCAATTTAGTTTTTTTTTCAACACAAAAAGTAGTCTCAGTTTAGATGAAACAATTATTAACGTAGACGTATAATTACAAAATCAATGTTTAACATGGTGGTTTAATTTATTATGGAAAAACTATATAAACACTGAAAGCAGCTTGATGAATAACATGATGGACATTACGGTCACACCGCAAACATTGCGGCTTATTTCGTGGGGATACTCAATGTGCTCTATTCGTATTAATACGTACGGTGCATCGCCGTATGATCGATACTTAATTTTTATATTTCTTGAATCATTTAATATTTCCAATAATGCCAAAACAACGTAAAATTATTAGTACGTAGGTCAGCTATATATAGCTCGTAGGAACTTCTGCATAAATCACCATTCATTGTTAATTAACTCTCCTAGTTATACTTTTATACAAGTAACAACTGATATATTTGTTTTCTTGTGTCACCTAGCGTAAGAGCTCACGATGTCTCTCGCTCTCTCTATTTGCTTGGCCTTCCTTTTCTCCATTTGCCATGGTTCTCATAGCTTACCTGCACAAAGAGTTCCTCATCTTGATAGTAAGACCATTCTAACTACCATTTAGCTTTCAGACGTTATATTTGTTTTACTATGACATGTTACCAAAGTTTAAATGTTTTACTATATGACACGTTACCTTATATTTTGCTATCCATTTTATGTAGGACTTCTCCCAAATGGAAACTTTGAGCAAGTTCCTAACAAAGCAAACATGAGAAAGAGACAAATAATCGGCAAATACTCTCTTCCTCATTGGCAAATCTCCGGCCACGTCGAGTTAGTCTCCGGCGGTCCACAGCCAGGAGGTTTCTACTTTGCGGTGCCACGAGGAGTCCATGCAGCTAGGCTAGGGAACTTAGCCTCGATATCTCAATACGTGAAAGTGAAGCGTGGCTTGGTCTATTCTCTAACGTTTGGGGTCACGAGGACTTGTGCTCAGGATGAGAACATACGAGTCTCTGTGCCCGGTCAGACCAATGAGCTGCCGATCCAAACCCTGTTTAGTACTGACGGTGGAGACACTTACGCTTGGGCTTTCAAGGCAACGTCTGATTTGGTTAAGGTCACTTTTCATAACCCTGGTGTTCAAGAGGACCCTTCTTGTGGTCCTCTCGTTGATGCTGTTGCCATCAAAGAGATTCTCCCTCTTCGGTATACCAGAGGTAAAATTTAATTAACCTTGTCAATTTCGGTATGGAATTGTTCTTTGTTTTCAATCTTAAATTCGGAATTTTCATTTAGTTTTTTATGTATCTTTCATCTAGGAAAATTAGTAGTGAATGCATAAGTAAACTTAATATATAAAGATTTAGGATAATTTTATTTAGGCAATATTCATTTTCATGTTACAGCAACCTATGTGACACAACTTGCAGGTTGTTATTTGATCACATTGATTGATCTCAAATCCTTATTTTATATCGTTATCAGTTTTATCGATTTATAAAGATTATAGAATAATTTATTTAGGCTATATCGCAAATAAATATAACACCCGCGGTAGTGCGCGGATCAAGTCTAGTTTAAATTTATAAAAACTCACTATTCATCATAAGACTACGTTAAAAAAACAACATCGCATGTTGCAGCGATATATGTAAATGAACATGGTCTTATGGTTAGGAATTAGGATATGGCGAATAGGCTCGATTTGATTCTCTTATTTTTATTTATACCAGACCGGTTACATGGAATTTTGTTGTTTAAAAGCTACATCATTTGAACCAAAGTTCCCACCTAAATATTTGCAATTTGGTCCTCTTTTTACATATTGTTTGATGTTTCACCCTTAAAACTTATTTTCTATGTAATAAACCAGGAAACCTTGTGAAGAACGGTGGATTCGAGGTCGGTCCACACGTATTCAACAATTTTTCTACTGGAATCTTAATCCCCGCGAAGGTACAAGATCTGATCTCACCGCTTCCGGGATGGATCATCGAATCTCTAAAACCAGTCAAGTACATTGATAACCGCCACTTTGAAGTCCCCTCAGGACTCGCCGCAGTTGAGCTCGTCGCCGGGAGAGAAAGTGCCATCGCTCAGATTATTCGTACAATCGCTGGTAGAAATTACATCCTCTCGTTCGCGGTTGGAGACGCACACAACGGTTGTCACGGATCGATGATGGTTGAAGCGTTTGCGGGAAAATCTGCGTTTAAGCTTCAGTTTGAATCTAACGGAAAAGGCGCGTTTAAAACGGGTCGTTTTAGATTCCGCGCCGATTCTAACCGCACGAGGTTAACGTTCTACAGTGGGTTTTATCATACCAAGCTACATGATTTTGGACATCTTTGCGGGCCTGTGCTTGACAGTGTTAGTGTTGTCATGACCCGTTAAGATTTATTTGAATATAAATTATAATTCTACTATATAATAAAAATATGATATTGTTCAGTTGTAAGCACATTTCTCTAAACGTTCACAAAGTCGGGTACTCGGGTGGTTCGGTTTCCAGTTATATTTTATATGTTTCTGTAAAATTTATAAAGATAAAGTTTAATGTTTCTTTGATCCCATATGTTATATTATCTTCCACTGGTAGTATATAACATGCATTGACGAAAGATACAGTCTGAACAGATCTCAAGATGATATATTTTAATATAGCAATAAGACTTAGACGTCAAAATGAAATCTTCAGATTCAAAACTACAAAACCTATTTTATTTTAGTTTTTGGACGAAAATTAGTTTGACCTGTAAGTGCAAATAATCAGCGGAGACAAGATGTGGGATTCCGAAGCTCCCTTGCGTATAACTTGTGTACACACATGGCGCATTTAATTTGTAAATCTCGTTCAATGTTTTATTTGCTTAAAACTTAAAAGCTTTTATTAAGCGTGAAGCCTTATTAAACAAAATCAAATGACTACGTAGAAGAGAACCTAAAAGTTGACCATGTGTTTGCTAGCGTATGACTCAATTTATAGTTGTATACTTAGACTGACACAAAAACATTAACCAATGTTAATAATATGCTTTTTTATACTGTACTAAATTTACTAGCTCTATTAATTGGTTGGTTTATGTTGCATGAAAGTCTTTCGCTTTTGGTTAGATATTTCAATATTAGTTCATGAATAAAACGTATACAAAGTTAAGATCATTTAGATTTTATCTAACCACGTAATGCGAATAAGTCAAGAGTTGATGGAATTAAGTTTTTTTTCTTCTTTTTGTGAATTTAGCAGCTCAAGTAATAAAACAAATTAAGAAAGCGCACACTTCATCTAATATTCAGCTCAACTGGGGTCGTGATGTGTTAGTAATTAATTCGTATTTGGAAGATTCCTCGCATATTTCTCAGCGTCATATTTCAGATTCTCATCACTTATTTCATTTGAAACTGTACGTAGTATTAATTAGTAATATTCGATCTTGTACAACCGATCAAATATAACATGACAGACAATGAGTCACACAATGCGGCTCGTAAGATGCAATCTTCAACATGGCTCGAGTTTCCGTCCACAGCTGACACACAATATATTTTACGTCTGTCTACATAAAAATATAACTGTTATTTATTGTTTAAAATAACTTAGAACTTCCGAAAATGTGCATGAAGCTTCATCGTCTTTTCCTTGCGTACTTATTATATTTTTTAAGTATTGCCCATCCTATATATAAGCCCCCCAAGGCCTTGGGGTTGGTAACATTAACATATTAGGATAAGACTTAATTAGTGTTCTTAACTTTTTTCAAAATGTCTCTCTATCACACTCTTTGCTTTCTTCTCATCCTCTCTCTCTGCCATGGTTCTCACAGCATCCCACAACGTCGGGCTCCTCATCTCGATGGTAAGAAACTCAACATTTTGCATAACCACTAGTTCATTATGAATCTATAAGATCATTGTTTTTAATTTATTTTTATAGGGATTCTCCCAAATGGCAACTTTGAGCACATCCCTCTCAAATCACACATGAAGGGACGACAAATAATCGGCGCAAACTCTCTCCCTCACTGGGAAATCTCCGGTTACGTGGAGCTAGTCTCCGGTGGTCCTCAGCCGGGAGGTTTCTATTTTCCTGTTCCACGTGGGGTCCATGCTGTTAGACTAGGAAGCTTAGCTTCCATCTCTCAAGAAGTTAAAGTGAATCCTGGTTTTGTCTACTCAATAACATTTGGAGCCACGAGGAGTTGCGCTCAGGACGAGAACATCAAAGTCTCTGTGCCTGGTCAAGCTGACGAGCTTCCCATCCAGACAGTCTTTAGCTCAGATGGTGGCGACACTTACGCTTGGGCGTTCAAAGCAATGTCTGATGTGGTTAAAATCACTTTCCATAACCCTGGTGTTCAAAAGGACCGTACGTGTGGACCCCTCGTAGATGTTGTCGCTATCAAAGAGATTCTTCCTCTCGGGTACAATCGAGGTAAATTGCTAGATCAATTAACCGGTTACGATCCAGTTAGCTGTAGACATTATACACTTTAATTTGTTTACTATATCACATCGTAAACTAACATATCTTCCATGTAATAATCATAGGAGGAAACTTAGTGAAAAACGGAGGATTCGAGATCGGTCCACACGTGTTTGCTAACTACTCTACTGGAATCTTGATTCCATCAAGAATCCAAGACGTCATATCTCCACTTCCTGGATGGATCGTTGAGTCCCTGAAACCAGTGAAATATATCGACAACCGTCATTTCAAGGTTCCCTCTGGACTCGCCGCAGTAGAGTTAGTTGCCGGAAGAGAAAGCGCAATCGCTCAGATCATTCGTACCATCGCCGGGAAGGCATACATGCTCTCTTTCACTGTGGGAGATGCACAAAACGGCTGCCACGGGTCAATGACGGTGGAAGCGTTTGCGGGAAAGGAACCGTTTAAGCTTTCTTTCGTGTCCGAAGGTAAGGGAGTTTTCAAAACCGAACATTTTAGGTTCGTTGCAGATTCAGACCGTACTAGGTTAACATTCTATAGTGCATTTTATCATACTAAGCTTCATGACTTTGGCCATCTCTGTGGACCTGTTCTTGATAGTGTTGTTGTACTCCCGGCCCATTAACAATTTGTGGTTCTTGATCTTATTCATACTCAGATGTTACAAAAATTGATGAATAAAATACAATATATTGTAAGGAATTTTTGTTGGACTCTTTTTGTTGTTGGCAATGCAATTACAACTCATACACCGATGATGCATAAGATATTTCCATTTTGTATGTAAGTTGAGTATGTGTAGAATAAACAAAGAAACTATTAAATGAGATCAGACCCGATCTTGAAAAATCATGAAAATTTTTGGGATGAAAACACTAAAATTATATGAATATGTTATTTAAATTAATAACAATGAAAGATTATTTTCCTAATCTCTCTCTCTCCTCTCTATGTTCCCTCTCTCTGTTCCCTCTCTCGTATCTTTCACAAAGAAGAAGAGAAGAGATGATATCCTTTTGTTTTTAGTTTCTGATCAAGAGATCAGTTTGGTTTGTCTGAGTAAATATTCTGGTTAGTGGATTGTTGTTTTTGCGATGCCGTTTTTGTTGTGTTCTTCGTTCCTCAACAGAGCTTTGCTTCAATTATTTTCTCTTCTTCTCTGTTTTTTTGGATCGATTAATATAGTTTCAAGTCTGAGTGTTGTTTTTCACTTCGTTCCTAATTTTATCCCGTCAAATACCATTTCAGACACTTGATTCACTGTCACTTTAACCGCTTTCTAGGAGAATCGGTTTTCGCTTTGACTTGCCATCTATGGTGTATGGTCAAGCTTCTCAGATTGAAAGAAGGTTGGGTAAGATGGATTCTCTGAGTCACATTTGGAGTAGATTTAGAAGAGCCGATGTTATTTGTAACGGTCCAGCATAAAATCTTCCTTCAAGTTCGACTGAAGCTTCCTCAAGCTTAATTCTGGTGAAGAAAAATCCCTCTGTTTTGGTAATTTACGGTTTAAGTGAAAGCATCTCAGGCTTTACAAGCATAAATTATTGAACCGGCGGTGAAAGCTTGTTCTGATGGGAACCAACGGTGGCGCTGCAACACCGAATCCTCATCTTGGGTGGAGGTGCATGAAGAGCGTGGAAATGCGTGTGATGAAGGTGAAGACGTGGCAATATTCTGATCTCGAAGACTCATGCAAAGGCGCTCGATTACGCGTGTTCTCCTCTTGCCTCTGCATTCGACATGTATTCTTTAGTGAGGCAAATTTCTGGAAGATATTAATCCAAATCAATGTAATGGGTTTAGGTTCTAGGATTTAACTTTAATTCGAGATTTTAAATGATGGAGATTGGTTTATGATATATTGTTTGTATCTTTGTCCATTGGGCCTAAGAAATGAAATTGAAAGTCAACAAAAAAATGAAAGATTAATAATGATGTTAAATAATTTCAAACTTGCCCCTTTTATGATTACAACAACCATTTTAACCAATTAAACTATTGATTGCAAAATTTGGTCAAAAATACATATTCACAGAAGGCGGAAAGCACATGCTTCTACAGTTTCTATTCAGACTGCTACTGAATGAGATTTTTGGTATTAAATTTACAAGTTTAGCAATTCAATTCAAGTAACACGTATCATTTCAAGATCAATCTTTTGTGTCGTTGTCTATCTCAAGTCAATACATTTATTTCAGATCATAATCAAAATAAAATACATCACTCATAAACTACAAAATAAAGCTACAACATACATTCATGGACTACAAATTAGAGATTAAACTTTTGTTTATTCACATAATAATCTAGTTTATTTGGTTATAGTTGGGTTAAGAAAACTTTAGCCAAAATAATTGCACAAAATATTAGTTTACAAAAACTAGATTGGAATTTGTGATTTTGGGTTATGTTAAAATTCGATTTTTTCTCTCGTTTGTAAGTTTTATCTATTTCTTGTAAAATGTGGTATACTTAGATATAATTTGGTATATGAATAAGTTCTGAAACATTACAGAAAAATTGAAACTATGATTAATTGATGGGGTTCGAGTTCGACTAATAAACTAAAATGACAGTTAAATTAACTTTGAAATGATCCATCGATTTAATATAAATAATCAAACAAAATTTTCAAACAATGGTTCAGCTTAGCTAAAATTTCCAGCTATACTTAAACGTACTCCTGATTTTTTTTTTCCGGAGGGTGTCATAGACGATTTTTAAAATTTTTTAACTAATTTTCTTTTTTTTTTTACAAATTTAGAAACCTAAAAAAAATTTGGGAACTTTTGTCTATGTTATTTTTTAAAAAAAAGTTGGGGATTTTTTTGCCAATGTTTCATCATGGTTCATGGCTATACTACAAAACATAAGGGATTTAAATTGGTCAAACATAAAAACTAGAGAAGTTCAAAGTTTAAGAAAGACCAATACCGAGTCAAACTATATTGTATATCTATAATTACTCTTAATTAAATGGAATATATTGTACGATTTATTCATAATGATATAAGTCTGTTTCCTTATGGCCTAATAATTATTCTATGACTTATTACTTGCGCTACGGTTCCAGATCTGAATGACGTGGCCATATGTACACCGTCAGATGTGTTCAGACGTAGACTTCAGCACACTATATAACCTCTCTCTCCTCTTTAGAATAGAAGCGATATCCTTTTAGTTCAGACAGCGAATAAGAAAACAAGACAACACCGAAGCCAAACTAAAGTAACGAAGATGGCCGTCGAGAAATCGAACACGACAGTGGATGGCGTCGAGATACTGAAGCCACGTACGGACAACAGAGAGTACAGGAAGATTGTCCTCAAGAACTCTCTTCAAGTTCTGTTGATCAGCGATCCCGATACTGATAAGGTCTGAGATCGATCCTTTTTTATTCAATTTAATTTTGATTCGTATTACTGATTCATAAAGTTTGATCCTTTTTATTCAAAAGTGTGCTGCTTCAATGAGCGTTAGTATCGGATCTTTCTCTGACCCAAAAGGATTAGAAGGCTTAGCTCATTTCCTTGGTACGTTGAATTCATTCTCCAGAGTCTTGTAATTTCTCCAGTTACATGATTTAATATGATTTAATATCATGATAACTGGACAATTTCATAATTATCACGTAATCAACAGTGACATGATAATTCCATCTTGATTCATGGAATTATCCAATTTTGAGCTGTTTCAGTGATCAAATCTGATTTCAATTTGTATGGTATATAATGTTCGTGGAGTGGTTTTGTAATAATGATTTTTATTATTTTCAGAGCATATGTTGTTTTATGCAAGTGCAAAATATCCACAGGAAGATAGTTACTCTAAGTACATCACTGAGGTAATACATATTGTTTTTGTATTTGTTTCTTCTCTTAATCCACACGGTGTAAAAGTTTGAGATTTATGGAATTGTCTTGCTGTAGCATGGTGGTAGCACAAACGCGTATACATCCTCTGAAGAGACAAACTACCATTTCGATATTAATGCTGATTGTTTCAGTGAGGCTTTGGACAGGTATAATTGCTGATGTTAATATTGCTAACTAATCTGTTACTTACCGTTTTGTTTAAACCTTACGTATTTTCTTACATCAGGTTTGCTCAATTCTTTATCAAACCACTAATGTCAGCTGATGCCACCATGAGGGAGATCAAAGCTGTTGACTCAGGTTCGATTTTTTCGTTTTATGTTTTATCTTGCTCTAGTCAGTTGAACTTAAAACAGATTGTAACAAGTTTTCTTTATCCAGAGAATCAGAAAAACTTGCTTTCTGATGGCTGGCGGATGCGTCAGGTATATCTCTGGTTCTAAGCAACAGTTATCTGAGCTATTTTTATTTATTTCGACCCATTGAGTTGGTACTACTATCACTGTTGAGCAAATTCTTTGGATAAGAAAAAGTTTAATTGTGAAAAAAAAAAGTTTTCCTTTGAACTTGCATGCCTCGAGGTCTATGATATAACTTCTACTTCCTTCTGTTCCTTTTCTTTGATAACAGTTACAGAAGCATCTAAGCAAAGAAGACCATCCGTTTCACAAGTTTAGCACAGGTCTTTGTTCTACTTGTTACTACTGTTCATTTTTGATTCTGGTCCTTTATCTCATGCTGAAAAAGTGAGATTTGTGCTCAGGTAACATGGATACACTTCATGTAAAGCCCCAAGCGAAAGGAGTGGATACAACGAGTGAGCTTATTAAGTTCTATGAAGAACACTATTCTGCCAACATCATGCACCTGGTTGTATATGGGAAGGGTATGTTTTGTTGCTAACTCAAAACTCAGATTCTCTTTCTTTCTATTACAATAGGTAACACTAACACTGATGTCTTCTGGATACTTTCAGAAAGCATTGACAAAATTCAAGATCTTGTGGAAGGAATGTTCCAGGAAGTCCAAAACACCAACAAAAGTATCCCTAGATTTCCTGGCCAGCCATGTACTTCGGACCATTTGCAGGTCTTTGTTCCTTTCCATAAATTCGGAATTTATTTTAACAAGAAGATTTTTCATGATAGAATGTTTCTGAGATGGTGCTGTTTTAATTATTTCCGGTTTCCAGATTCTTGTGAAGGCTGTTCCTATACAGCAAGGACACAAACTCAATGTTTCATGGCCCGTGACTCCTAGCATTCATCGCTACGAAGAAGCACCATGCCGGTACCTTGGCCATCTAATTGGACATGAAGGCGAAGGAAGTTTGTTTTATGCCTTGAAAACATTGGGTAGGCTTTCTTTGTGGCACATACTAATAGGTTTTACACTAGATTCCTCATAGGAGGGGCAATGGGTTCAGAAGTAGCTTTAGACGCCTTTGTGTAGGATAGGTTGCTGCTGCTGAAATTTGCATCCTTCATATAGAGTTATGTATTCATCTGTATTCTTGGTGACGACTTTTTATTTATTATTTGCTTATTTCTTCTTATTGCTTTCAGGTTGGGCAACTGGACTTTCTGCTGGTGAAGGAGATTGGACTCTTGATTATTCTTTCTTCACGGTTTCGATTGACCTTACCGATGCTGGTCATGGTGGGTTTCTCTACTGTATTTCTTATAATTCTGAAAGTTCACAACAGTCATATTCATTGTTGACTAGAGAGTATGAGTGCGTTTGGCGTTTAGTACGTACTTGATAAATGATAGTTTCTCCTCCTTGGTGCGTTTACAGAGCATATGCAAGATATATTGGGGTTGCTGTTCAAATACATTCAGCTATTACAACAGACTGGTGTTTGTCAGTGGATTTTTGATGAGGTATGGCTATACTATTTTTTTTTGTTTTTTGACTTTTTGTATTGCTAGTATCCTAATGAATCTGTACTAAGGTTTTGATACATCTCTTGTTATTATTGAAGCTCGCAGCTATTTGTGAGACAAAGTTTCATTATCAAGACAAAACACCACCAATGTCCTATGTAGTGGATATTGCATCGAACATGCAGGCAAGTTATATTTTTGTTCTTTAGCTTTCCTCTTAGGCTTTATATACGTGACCTATACATATGACTGCTGAATATACTTGAGTTCGTGTGCCTTTAACAGTAAACAAAATGAAGAATATATGTTTAACTCTGTTACTCCGTCAATGACCACCACTGACTGTTACATGTCTAACATATCGACACTTTTTTTTTTTTGAATCTTATGTATCCTTGGCAATTACATTTCAGATATTTCCGACAAGAGACTGGCTGGTTGGATTGTCACTGCCATCCAAATTTAATCCAGCCACTATACAAAAGGTTGTAGATGAGCTTTCTCCTAGTAATGCTCGGTAAGTCTGTGATCTTTGAGTGACCTAGAATTCTTTTGAGTAGATGCCTATGATACACAATTGATAATGAAACCATGAGTTTAAACCAAAGCTAATTCCACCATTGTTTCTTTTACTCTTAACATATCTGAGCACGAGATGCATATGATCGTTATATTAGATGCTATGAGAGTTTACATGTTGTTAAAGCTTTGGAACCTATTGACACAACCAAACTGTTGTCTTGCTTTTGTAGAATCTTTTGGGAGTCACAGAAATTTGAAGGACAAACAGACAAGAATGAGCCATGGTATAACACTGCCTATTCTCTTGAGAAGATAACCAGCTCTACCATTCAGGTTCACATTTGATATGTTATACTTACTCGAAATGATTCGTTTATTGGTTGAACTGTGGTTTTTTTTTGCCTTGTTAATCTTTTTGGTTTGTGTAAAATAATTACAGGAGTGGGTGAAGTCTGCTCCTAATGTAAACCTGCATCTACCAGCGCCTAATGTCTTCATTCCTACAGATTTGTCACTAAAGGATGCTAAGAACAAGGTTCAAATTTCACCACACTAGTTAATTCTTTAATCTGTGAAGCAGTGTTCTTATGTAATAAAGTTCTGGAACAGGAGACTGTCCCAGTTTTGTTGAGAAACTCGCCTTTCTCGAGATTGTGGTACAAGCCAGATACGATGTTCTCAAAACCAAAGGCATATTTCAAGATGGATTTCAATTGTCCTCTCGCAGTCAGCTCTCCGGACGCAGCAGTTCTTACAGATATCTTTACGAGATTATTAATGGACTATTTAAATGAATATGGTAGGTTCTAATCAATACATGCCTCAGTATTTTTCTTTCAACTAGAGGAATATTATATCATGAAATCTGCTCACTTACTTTTTGCCTCTTCTATGTCGTAGCTTATTATGCACAAGTTGCTGGTCTTCACTATGGTGTGAGCCTTTCAGACAATGGTTTCGAGGTGAGTTTGGCATTTCATCATTTATACCACATGTATTTATCTTGCCCTAATGCTTTTTCTTTTTCCTCCTAGTTGACCCTTCTTGGTTACAATCACAAACTGAGGATTTTGCTGGACACTGTTATTGAAAAGATAGCCAATTTTGAAGTCAAGCCTGACAGGTTTGCTGTTATCAAGGTAATCAAGTTTGGCTTTATCTCTCTTTATTACTTAATTTAACAATTTAGACGACCATTAAATCTTGTGTCTTTTGCTAGGAAACTGTCACAAAAGAGTATCAAAATTACAAGTTCCGTCAGCCATATCACCAAGCAATGTATTATTGCTCGCTGATAGTACAAGATCAAACCTGGCCTTGGACAGAGGAACTAGAAGTTCTTTCTCATTTGGAAGCTGAAGATGTAGCTAAGTTTGTCCCAATGTTGTTATCAAGGACATTTATTGAGTGTTACATAGCAGGTATTGAGATTAGTTTTCGTTCTCCATGATTTTCTTTGATCAGAAGTTGTCTTGGTGTTTAAATATATCTTCACTTCGTTTCAGGTAATGTGGAGAATAACGAAGCTGAGTCAATGGTCAAGCATGTTGAAGATATCCTTTTTAATGATCCAAAACCTAAGTGCCGACCTTTGTTCCCATCCCAGCACCTGACTAATAGAGTTGTGAAGCTAGAAGAAGGAATGAAGTATTTCTACCACCAAGATGGATCAAACCCCAGTGATGAAAACTCTGCTCTAGTACACTACATTCAGGTACTTGCTTGTTTAGATTTGAAGATGGCTTTTGAATTTGATCTTATTATTGGAGCTTCTTTGAGAGACCATACTTTTTTGTTAGCTAACTGAAACTTTGGTTGCCACAAACAGGTTCACCCAGATGACTTTGCCATGAATATTAAACTTCAGCTATTTGGTCTCGTTGCAAAGCAAGCCACCTTTCACCAACTTAGAACGGTGGAGCAGCTTGGTTACATCACTGCACTTGCTCAGAGGTATACTTATATCAGTGTTTTCGTTACTCCCATTTACTAATATGTCCCCACCTGAACTCTATCTAACCATGCTTTTTTTTTTTTTTTTTTTTATCTAACCATGCTTTTTCTGCAACTTTAGGAACGATTCTGGCATTTATGGTGTGCAGTTCATCATCCAGTCATCAGTGAAGGTACCAAACCATCTCTGTCAGATCGAATCTATCTAATAACCCTTATTGCTCGTCTGTAATTGCCTTTGGGTGTTGATGGTTTGTAACAGGGTCCTGGACATATTGATTCAAGGGTGGAGTTGTTGCTGAAAAACTTCGAGACTAAACTTCGTGAGATGAGTGATGAGGAATTCAAGGTGAATGGGTGAACCTATATATATATCAAGTAATCTAGCTATACAATATGATCCTTATTTACTAACTGACATGAGTTACTCTTTCCTCAAGAGCAATGTAACAGCTTTGATAGACATGAAGCTTGAAAAATACAAGAACTTGAAGGAGGAATCCCGGTTTTACTGGCAAGAGATTCAAAAGGGAACACTCAAATTTAACCGTAAAGAGGCAGAGGTAACTAATTGAATCACTTGTAAGATTAGTTCAAGTGAGTATTGAATTTGTTTTTATGGAAGAAACTAAATTGGGTTTCCTTGTGGACAGGTTGCTGCACTGAGGCAGCTTCAGAAGCAAGAGTTAATAGATTTCTTCGAGGAATACATAAAGGTTGGAGCAGCAAGGAAGAAATCGTTGAGCATAAGAGTATATGGTAGCAAGCATCTGAATGAAATGGCAAGTGACAAAGATGGAGTCCCATCACCATCTGTTGAAATCGAAGATATTGTTGGTTTCAGAAAATCTCAGCCTCTTCACGGTTCTTTCAGAGGATGCGGACAACCCAAACTCTGAGGGCTGAATCTCATTTCATTATACAGAGACAATCATTTTATATTTTCTTTGATCCTTTCTCGTTATACGAACAATACAGGTGAACTTAGTTTGGCATCAGTTTCTAGAAAACAGAGTTTCTTTCATTTGAAGATTTGATAAAATAAAGTCTGAGTAAACATTGATGACTCTAATTATGTTATTTTGTAACTTTTCTCTGTGTTCTCTTATACAGTATTTAAAACTGAAAATTTTAAATTGATAGTTTATGACATTAGTGTTTAAATAATTGCTCAAAATAAAAGTTTAGAAACTGGATAAGTTTTCTAATATTGTTTTAAAACAATATTAGATAGGAGAGTTCTTATCGTTTTTTATACTTGTTAAACAATTATGTATTACAAATTATTAAAAATATGAGATCTGTTGGTGTATATCGTTTTTTATACTTGTTAAATAATTATGTATTACAAATTATTAAAAATATGAGATCTGTTGGTGTATAAGCATTAATGAATTTATATCAAACTATTAAATCAAGAGATTTTTCACGATCGAATTTTTCAGTTTTTAGATATCAATTTATATTTGTTCGGATTATGTTTGATTAATAGTTTTTTTAAATTTAACTTTGGGTAGATTTTTTAGGATCGAATTTTTCAGTTTTTGAGTATTATTAGATTTAAAATTTGTTCGGATTATGTTTGATTAATAATTTTTGAAATTTAACTTTGGGTTCGGTTAGTAATGTTTTGAGTTCAAACAATATGCGAAAATATGTAATTGACAATTTTTAAATATAGTTTCAGTCTTTTTGGGTATCCATTTGAGTTGATATCAAATTAAAATAACAAAATAACCCAAAATACTGATACAAAATTAATTTAAGTAGATTTTATAGATTGGATCCAGGATTCAATCACAAGTAGGCCACTACTAAAACAATTGCGTATATACATTTTTAGTAGCTTAGCTTCATGTGATGGCTTGTCTGGTCCAACAAATTACAGCAAGAACTACTGTTCAGTTGTCTCGTTACCCATACCAATAAAGAAGAAACCTACCTTCACCCCTTCCTCCAGCTCTGCACGGACCATACTTCGCTTTCCAAGCTCTTTGCATTCAAGCTTAAGCAACATCAAATCCCAACCACCGTCATTACATTCATACGCTTCCAGACAACACACCAAACCCAAAAACCTCTTTCATTGTTCTGTCTGAAAAAAAAAAAAAAAATTCACAAATCTCAAAAATTGAAAACTTGTTCTGATTCAGACAAAGCTTCTCTTTTTTTATCCGATGTTGGTTCAAGATCGTGATTTGCCGAAGCCGGCTAAGTCTCAGATCAGAGAGCTACCAACTCACCGACGAATCACCGAACCGAAAAACCTAGACTTTACCACTTGGGTCTCCGAGAATCTCTCGAGAATCGTCGTCATCTCTCTCTCCATCATCACAATCGCAGCTTTCTTCTTCCTCTACAACGCCACCGACACTGCTTCCCTCCTCTGTTTCCAGACCCAGTCAACTAACTCTCTTCAACCTCTCACTCGCCCACAGATCAAATGGAACTCGATCCAAGTCCTCCCGGATAAGTCCTCCCCTTACTCAACCTTCGTCACCGAGAAATGGATCGTGGTGTCGGTGACGAAGTATCCAACGGAGGAGCTCAAGGGGTTAGTGAAGATCAGAGGATGGCAGGTTTTAGCGGTTGGAAACTCGGTGACACCTAAGGATTGGAGTCTTAAAGGTTCGATCTTTTTATCTCTCGATGCTCAAGCTGAATTGGGTTACCGAGTTTTAGATCATTTGCCTTATGATTCCTTTGTGAGGAAGAGCGTTGGTTACTTGTTCGCGATCCAGCACGGTGCTAAGAAGATCTATGACGCGGATGATCGTGGGGAAGTGATTGGTGGAGATTTAGGGAAGTGTTTTGATGTTGAGTTGGTTGGTGAAGAGTCTAAGCAAGAACCGGTTTTGCAGTATAGTCATGAGGATCCTAACAGGACTGTGGTGAATCCGTACATTCATTTTGGGCAACGTTCTGTTTGGCCTAGAGGTTTGCCGTTAGAGAATGTAGGTGAGATTAATCATGAAGAGTTTTACACTGAGGTGTTTGGTGGTAAGCAGTTTATACAGCAAGGGATCTCGAATGGTTTACCTGATGTTGATTCGGTGTTTTACTTCACTAGGAAGACTACTTTGGAGGCTTTTGATATTAGGTTTGATGAGCATGCTCCTAAAGTGGCTTTGCCTCAAGGTGTGATGGTGCCGGTTAATTCGTTTAATACTCTTTACCATTCCTCTGCGTTTTGGGGGTTGATGCTTCCTGTTTCGGTTAGTTCCATGGCTTCTGATGTGTTGAGAGGGTACTGGGGACAGAGGCTGTTGTGGGAGCTTGGTGGCTATGTTGCTGTTTATCCACCTACGGCTCACCGGTTTGATAGAATTGAGGCTTACCCTTTTGCGGAGGAGAAGGATCTTCATGTCAATGTTGGTCGTTTGATCAAGTTCTTACTTGTTTGGAGATCAGAGAAGCATAGTTTGTTTGAGAAGATACTTGATTTGAGCTTTGCTATGGCTGAAGAAGGGTTTTGGACAGAACAGGATTTGAAGTTCACATCTGCTTGGCTTCAGGATTTGATTACTGTAGGGTACCAACAACCGAGGTTGATGTCATTAGAACTTGATCGTCCACGAGCAAACATAGGTCATGGAGATAGAAAAGAGTTTGTTCCTAGGAAGTTGCCTTCGGTTCATCTTGGTGTTGAGGAGACAGGTACAGTGAGCACTGAGATAGGGAACTTGATAAGGTGGAGGAAGAA